AATAATATTTTGAGGGCATTTTGAGAGACAGAAAGAGACAAAGGGCAGAAAAAGCAAGAAATCACTCCCAGAGAGAAGGCTATGTCTCAATCCTTTCTCCTTTATTCTCCTCTTGGGATTCTAGGCATGCATGCGTATGTACCTGGCATGTTTCAAGCCTCTGAGTCTAGGACTAGAACCACGGTTGACCATATGGGAGTCCAGTGGCATAACCATTATACCATTTGCTGGTCCCTGGGGGCATCATCATTATGCTGTACTCAATGTTAGTTTCTGTATCTATAAATAAAATAAGAACCAATATTTATTCAGCATTTACCCTGCACTAACTTTGTATATGAATTATATGGTCTTCTTAAAACAACCCTATGTGTCCTGTTTTTCTCAACAATAAAGTTGAGTAACTGTCCAAAATGTCAGATAGCTGTTTACAAACCAATCTCTGAGCAATCTGTTTCCCCTCTCTGAACCATCTGCTTCCCCTCTCTGAACCATTATGTTGAATTCTCTTCCATAGATAGACCACCTGTAGATTCAGTTCTCAAAAAGCTCATATACAGGGACCAGCAGTTAGTGTAATGGCTATGTCGCTGGACTCCCATGTAGTCAACAGTGGTTTGAGTCCTGGACCCGGTGGCTTAAGCTCACGCCAGGGGTGTGTGCATGCGTGCCCAAGATCCCGAGAGGAGGAATGGAGAAGAAGGGATTGTGGTGAGGCCAAACCCCCTGGGGGGTGATTTCTCCGCTTTCTGTCTCTCTGTCTCTCCCTGTCTTTCTGGCGAGTGCACACACTCTATAGCAAAAACCTCTCCCCCCCAAAAAAAAATCATAAACAGTTAGAAGGAGACAAATTTGTTGTGGTTCAGAATGTCTGACAAAACACTTTGGGGACAGAGAGGCAGAGACTAACATAATTATGGCTCACTCCTCCTAGAGTGAGTGGTGGTGGGTGGGATGGTCGTTAGTGATATCACCACTTTTAAGACCAATTTATATTTGTACTTGCAACTTCAGACAATCAGATTCATTGCCTGAGAAGACTCTGGAGCAAGGTCCAATTTTTACTCTTTGGTCAACTGGAAATTCTATGTATGTTTTGATCTCCCTACAGAAAACAAAGAAAAAGCCATAAATATTCATAGGAAAAGAGTAAGATGAAATGTGTGAAAACTTTAACAAGGTCTATCTTATGCTCACCCACAATATATTTTTTTCTATATATCTCTGTAGTTGTTTTGCTTTTAAAATCAAACACTATACATAATAATTTAACTTATAAAATAATATGAATACCAGGGACCAGCAGTTAGCATAATGGCTATGTCGCTGGAATCCCACGTAGTTGACGTGGTTCATGTCCTGGACCCAGTGGCTTAAAACTCACGCTGGGCGTGTCTGCGTGTGTGCCCAAGATCCCGAGAGGAGAATGGAGGAGAAGGGATTGTGGCATGGCCATCCCCCCTGGGGGGGGATTTCTCACTTTCTGTCTCTCTGACTTTCTCTGTCTCTGTCTGTCTGGTGAGCACATGCACCCTATAGCAAAAACCTCTAAAAAAATAGAATTAAAAAAATAATAATATGAATACCAGAGTCAAACACTGAATTAGCAACCTCTTATAGCCCAGCAAATATATTACTGAGTTTTATATAGCTGCCTAGGTGCAAAGGGTAGAGGGCACCATGTATAGGAGAGTCTTTACAAACTTAATGGAAAATGCGTATTAAGAAAAACTTATTCATGGATCTCAAAATTTTTGTACTAAAATAAACTCATACTTTAATTATTTTTTCCCAATGAACTTTTTGAAGTTCCCTCATACTTTTAGTCATTCTCTAAATACAAGCCTCTATTCCAACCTCTTCAATTGGATAAATATGAGTGTACCCATGCTGGTTCCTTCCAGGAAGGCTTAAAGTTTAAGAGTGCAGTGGTAGGTCTGGCCACAGAAACAGCCAAGAAGCTAAGAGTTGCTGTCAAACCAAATGCCAAAACAAATACAACTGCATTTGATACAGACTTTTCATATAAATAGAAGACATTATCAAAGTTTGAAGGTATGAATAGGAATCTTAGTAGCAGAAAAATGACCAAAAGAATAATGTCATCAAGAGTGTTCCCTGATTTGGGAACCAGCAGTTAGCGTAATGGCTATGTTGTTGGACTCCCATGTAGTTGACTGCGGTTCTCGTCCTGGACCCGGTGGCTTAAAACTCACGCCGGGCGTGTGTGCGTGCATGCCCAAGATCCCGAGAGGAGAATGGAGGAGAAGGGATTGCGGTGTGACCATTCCCCCTGGGGGGTGATTTCTCGCTTTCTGTCTCTCTGTCTCTCTCTCTCTTTCTGGTGAGTGCACGTGCCCTGTAGTGAAAAAAAAAAAAAGTGTCCCCTGATTTGATCCTAGACATAGAATAACCACATTAGCCTGTCATTAATACATGCTGTCTTTTTAAAAAAAGATTTGTTTATTCATTCATTTATTTTTAATTTGACCAGAGTGAGACACATAGAGAAAGAGAGAGAGGGAAAATGAGAAAAGAAGCCACCAGGTTCGGGACTCGAACCATGGTCAACCATGCAGGAGTGTCCAGCTCCTTTACCACCACACCACCTGCTGGTCCCCAATACATGCTCTCTTGAAGGTAAAGTTTGGATAGAGTAAATTTTAGACTTTAATACAAAGAGAAAACATCAGTTGAGCTTTTTCTCATACTAAGTGCTTAAGACCATTACTCACTTGAGCCTCACAACAGATAATTTTGTCATCATTGCAAATGTGGGAATGGAGGCTTAGAAAGTTTAAGTAACTTGCTGAGGATCATATTTTTGTGAATTTAAAGCCAAGAATTAAACCTGAGCAAAACCTGGGCTCTTATTCATTTACCGAATGGTCTATTACACTGAATAAATAAAATATTAAATATATTTTATTGCTCTTTTTACCATGTTTTCTGCTTCTACTGCCATCCATCTAGCATATACCCACTTCTCCAAATACCTTACAAATTATATTTTAAATCCGCTAATTCTATATGTTTATAGTTACCATTAAATATTATAAGATAATTGTTCAGAGTTAAGTACATGCTGGAGTTCTGGAAAATAAGTAGGATTCTCTGGTGTGGATTAAAAGCATAAATCACCCTTTCTCTTTTGAGTGGCTCCATATAATTTTACAGTTTTTTCAAATATGCCCCCAAAAGTAGTTCACAAGTTCTGTGCCTGTATTTGTCCACTTGGAACTCAGAAAATTTGATAGTTTCATTATTCATTGTCCCTGAAATTCTAATATGGCCACTATAATTTTAAAGAAAATAATACTGCACTCATTTTTATAGAGTGTACCCTTATTCTAGGAGTAGGGTTTGTAAGAACAAAGTTTATTTTTAATTCTGAAAAGTCTTACTAATTATTAATATGAACATGTAACTAATGCATATATCTGAGAGTTTCTTTTTCATCTTTGGTAGTAGAAGACATGTAGAGGAGCATAAAGGTGGGAGATTCTCCAGTATAGTTGTCCCCCTTGAAGGTGTGCATGAGCAACTTAGAGAAATACCTGGTGGAAAGTCAGGGCTTACCCACTAGAGTAGCAGTTAGGCACTGCATAGAGGAAGTCAGATTCTACATGGCTGACAAGGTTTCAGGTCCCAGCCCCAGCATCTTGAAAAACATGCTGGGTTCCTAATGAGATGGAGAATTGGAGGAAAAAGGATTGCAATGTGACCAGGTCCTGTGGCGGAGTAGACTGCTCTCTCTCTTTCTCCATCTATCTCTCTTTCTGTCTCCCTCCTGCACATGCATGCACCCACTGGCCAAAAAAAAAAAAAAGAAAGAAAGAAAGAAAATGAGACAACATGAACTAGTGGAAATACCAGAGAATATGTAATTCAGAGATTAGGTTAAAATTACATCTTTGTCATGGGTAGGCAACATTACGTTGGAAGGTTGAATAAAAAATTGTCTTTCTCATATATAAACATAGGGCTAGCAGAATCCCGCCCACAGGGATCTTTTGAGGACTAAATGAGTTTATGCAGACTGCTTACATGCTTACAATACAGTAGGCCCCAGATATATAACTTTCATACCTACTCTTATATTACTCACTTGAGGATAATAATATTTATTATACGGTGTTACCATGAGAATGAAATGAGTTCCTTTGCAGACGGAGTCCACAGTTCTGTGGCAATCAAATCTCTGGATACATCACTTTGATCTTGGTTAACTAAGTTTAAGCCTTTGTCACAAACATTAATTCATTTATAAAACTGTGTTGAAAAATCAATGCATTCTCAGATGACACCTTATGTATCCAATCCAATATATTTTCTATATTGTCTGTAGTGGACAAAATAAATTTATTTATTTATTTATTTATTTATTTATTTATTTGTTTACTTACTTACTTATTTATTGGAGAGGTTTTTGCTACAGTATGTGTGCACTTGCCAGAAAGACAGAGAGACAGAAAGCGAGAAATCACCCCCCACGGGGGATGGCCACACTCTAATCCCTTCTCTTTCATTCTCCTCTCAGGATCTTGGGCACACACACACACACACACAACACACACACGTGCCTGGGTCCGGGACTCGAACCGCAATCAACTACATGGGAGTCCAGTGACATAGCCATTACGCTAACTGCTGGTCCCAACAAATTTTATTTTTATAATTTGACTCAAATAAGAAATGGTATTTTGGGGGGAGTAGAGAAAGTCCTCATTCTAGAAAAATTTGACCACAAGGGGGAAGTAGAACTTGCAGAGAAAATCCATCAGTGTTTTTCTTTAATTTCTCCTTCTTGTTTTTCACTCTCACTTCCTCAGTTTTATTTGTCATTTTATACTTGTCTTACAGGCTTCCCGATTCTAAAAATATCCTCATAGGCCCTATACTTAGAAAGTGTATTGACCTTAATCACCTTTTGGTATCAGGGTCATATCTACAGGATGTCTTCAATGGTGTCTTGCTGACCGTGCCATCTTCAATTCCAGGTCTGTCCTTATGTATTATAAAGCAATAATTGCTCACTGCTGCCTGGTCCTAGTGTATTTGATTACTGAAGAGGAATTATCTGTGATCACAATAAGACTGCTGGGTATAAGAGCTGGCACAACACCAACAGGGCTGACGAGGCCCTTTTCAGGTAACCTAAATTGCTTTCTATGAATTTATAGGTTTTCTGTTGAATATACCTGAGATTCCAAAACAACTTGAGGCTCATTGAGAAAATGCCTTATTGTGTCAGCAGGTGGTATATAGGTGAAGGTATCTGGATCTCAAGGCTCTGTAGTTTGAATCCCAGACTCAATGGTTTGAAAAACACACCAACCAGGTGTGCGTGTGTGTGCATGTGTGTGTGCGTACATGCCCCAAATCCTGAAAGGATAATGGAGAAGGGATTGTGGTGTGGCTGTCCCCAATGGAGGATGATTTCTCACTTTCTCTCTCCCTCCCTCTTTGTCTTTCTCTGGTGAGGGCATATGCTTTCTAGTAAACTATAATAATAAATAAATAAATTAATTAAAAAATATATTCTCTTTGCCTATACTTGCTTAATGTTTAAGTCTTAGGCTGTAATGATTTCATCAGTTATTTTCAAGGTTATTTACTCTATTTGACGAATATATTATGGGCCATGTATATCATGACAGTGGTTATGACATTATGGAAGACATAAAGCCATGTTCTGGAGGAGGGTAAAGGAAGGTTCAAGAGTGATGGAAATGCTGAAGCCTCTATCCCTGAGTTGAGTGAGAGCTGCTGCTGCAGGAGAGTCACTGTAGAAGATGAGGAGTTGCTAATTAAATTGCTGAGACTGAGCCTGGAAAGCAGGAAGCCAAATGAAACAAGTGTTTAAGCTTTTGTTTTTACCTCCTAATCTCCATTGGGTGCTTCAGCAGAAAACTAGAAGGGAACATGATATGTGGGTCCCCAAAGCGTAATCTCCTGGAACACAGATCAGGTGAAATTAAGGTGGAGTGTAGATCAGAAAAGGAACAAACATCATAACCAGCACAAAGGCCACCCCAAGTCTGTCCCAATTTAACTTCTCATTTCCTAGAGTCCTATCCCTCTTTCTCTCTCTAATTGGCTACTATTCCAATTTCTGTAAAAGTGAATAATTCTGGAAGTAAAATTCTCTTCAGCAGCACACATTTGGCATTATGTTAATAAATATTTTCGGATACTTTCCTGTGTGGCATGTATACATCTAGCAGCTGGAAATATGTTCAGGAAAATATCCTGCACAAATTCTACCATTTCTCTCTGTTGTTCAGGAACTTTTAGTGAGTGAGGTTTTTGTGAAGAGAGTGCAGTACAGTGTTGCAAAAAGAAACAAGCATGTTTGGACTGGCTTTGTGGCCTTGTGGTTAGGGCAGCCAGATTCCAAATGGAGTCGTGGAACCCAATGAACTGAGAAATACACTGGATGCATGCTTTCCCAAAATCTCACAAAGAAGAAGAGCTGTAGAGAAGGGATTGTGGTGTGATCATTTCCCACAGTGGTGGGGAGTCTTTTTCCTCCTTCTCTGTGTGGCTCTCTCTGGTGTGTACATATGCCCTCTGGCAAAATTTAAAAGAGAGAGAGAGAGAGAGGCATGTTAAGGGTAACTAATCTGGGATTGGTACATCCTGAAAGCTTTTCCAAATGCAATAGTGGTTAAGTCTTCATAAGGAAGATGATGAAAGAACAGAGGGAGTAGAGTAAGAATGTTCTAGACAGAAATGAAAGATCCAGACAGAGCAAAGTCCTAGAGATAAAAGAAAACATATATATATATATTTTAAATAGCAGAACTACAGTTTTTACTGGCAGTGTGGGGTTGAAAGGACTGAGGCGAACGATGAGTTAGGACAGGAAACAAAGGCCTTGGAAGTCATAATGGGGAACAGAGCTTTGTGTAATTGGGATACTGAATCCTGCCCCAAAACGCTTAAGAGTGTTTCCTAAGAAAGACAGTTATTGGAAGGGAAAACCAAAAATTTTCTAATACATACAGGGTTCTGAAGTCCTGTGATCTATGACTGCTCACTGTGCTCACTGTGTTTTTTCATCAAATATCCATCAAGACTGAAATAATTAGAATAAAAATTACCCAAGTGCTGCCTTAGTTCTTTCTTGCCAATACCAAGGGGGTATCTCTTACTCTGCATTTTGAACTCTCACCGCTGTTGACCATGGAGTCCTCCTCATCATATCCCTGTCTTTGCCAGCAGGCATCAGACCAGCAGTAGGTGGAAGCAGAGTCTCAGTTTTCTGTATCCCTCTTGCCTGTATTCAGTCCCTAACTTTAGAGCTAGAATCAGACTGTCTACATGTAAGTGAAGACTCAACATAAGCTAGTTTTGCTGATGGAGACCTTATTTCTGATTTTTTCTGAGGCTCATTTCTTTCATCTGTGAAGTTCTGAGAGTTGTATTTTCACCTTGAAAATTTACTACAGGTTCTTCGACAAGGAAGTGGGACAACTGATTTTTTAAAAAGATCTCTAGTGTATAAGTTGCTATCCTGCCTGGGGCTCCCATGGTCTGGCTTTAGAGGCAGGTACACCCAGCACTTAGCACAGGATAGAGAAATCCTCCTAGACTGAAGTTCAGAGTATTGGTTGGAGGTGGTGTGAGGGAAGGGTACAATTTAAGGCACTGGTTAGGGATTGGGGTATAAAGCCAGATGAGGCAGGCTCTGAAGTGCATCTCATTGCTGTAGTACACAGTGATTCTACCCCCTTAACAAATGTTGTGACTCATTGTGTTTTGGTATTTTAGCAGGAAAGACTGTCATTAGAGAGCTAAGAAGTCAGGGTAGACTCTGCTCATTCTGGTTTCCAAATTATAATAGATTAGCACCTGCCTAGTGTGTTTCTTTGGTAGATACTAGCCTAGGTTTTTGAAGCCTATTTTTCTATTTCTGCAGAGGGAAGTTCAGGAGGGTCATACCCTCTTATGAGACTCTGAGGAAATCTAAGGTCAAGTGTGTCATTGGGATCCTTATCTTCCTTTCTGGTGCCTAAACTAAGAGAGCTGTCAATTAGGTTTAGTAAAATTTATCCTGGAGAAACATGCTATGTTACACCTGGTCCCAATGACACTCAGGGATGTTAGCCTTTCTAGAAAACTTTTGATTTAATTTCCCACCTGATGGAAAGAGGATTAATAAAATCAACGCAAAGGAGGTGGTACAACAATGCTCCAAGGGAGGGATCTAGGGCCCTGGTAATCCATAGGATTAAAAACCCATGATCAGTTAGGGCATCCAGTGGTGTAACTCTCAATCTAAGGACAAAAGCTCAAGAACTCTGGGAGTGGGGGGTCTAGTGTAAACCCTAGAGTCCAAAGGCAAGTGAGCCTTAAGTTTTAATGTCTAAGGCAGCAAAGAAGTCTATCTTGCTCTTCAGAAGACACCAATCTAACTCAGACTGACGTGTTAATGTCTTCTGAAACATTTTCACAGATACACTCAGAATAAATGTATACCAGGTTTGCAGGTATTCCTAATCCAATCAAGCTGACACCCATGAGTGGCCCTCACAGAAGCCATGGAGAAATAGGCAGGCCATGAAAGCTAGAAGGAAAGAGGGCTGGGTGAAAACCAGACTCAGATGCTATTTCCTTCTCACCTAGATTTTCTAAGCTTCCTGGAAATTGATGGTTAGGCAAGCTCATACTTTTAACATAATTAGAGACAGAATCTATGCTTGAGTCTTAGTCTTATGTAAGTGAATAAGGAATTTAACTCTGAAGACACTCTTTTTTGTAAAGAAGAAAGAGAAACAAAGCACCCTCCAATGGGATGTGGTCACAGCCTGATTCCTTCTGCTCCATTTTTCCATCCTGTTGAGATTTAGGGCACATACATGTACACATTCCTGGAGTGTTTTTTAAGCCATCAGGGCCAGGGATCATACTGCATTTGATTTACAGGATTCAGCTCTCTTAACAATAGGCTGCTAGGCCAGCCCACATTCATTCACCTTTTCATAAATATAAGAAAATGTTTCTCTGTCAGAATGGTGAAGATTAAAAATACAAAAAGTGATAAGTGTTGGTGGGGTTGTGGTCAAAGGAGAACTCTCCTACACTATTGATGGGAATGTAAATTGGTTCAGCCACTGTGGAAAATAATATGGAGGTTCCTCAAAGATCTGTAAGTAGAACTACCATTTGATCCAGCAATCCCATGTCCCAAAGTACAGGAAAATGCTCAGCTGGAAAAGCACTTGCACATCGATGTTTATTGCAGCATTATTCACGACTGCTAAGACACGGGACCAACCCAAATGTCCACAAACAGATGAATGGATTGAGAAAGTGTGGAACATATAATCCATGGAATACTGTTCAGCCATAAAAAACAAGACCCTGTCATTTGATAGAAAGTGGTCAAATATGGAAGATTTGCTGAGTGAAGCAAACCAGGCTATGAAAGAAAGAGATTGTATGTATCCACTTAATATATACCAACTATCTGCACTCTGGGGTAGAGATTGAAATATTGGAGAGCATTAAAAACAGTAAAAATAGTTACGGATGCTGAAGACAGTGTGGAATGAAGGGGAGAATAAAGGAAGAGTATAGATAAGGATAGCACAAGATGCATGACATTTGTGGAACACAGAAATGGTTTATTTCCTGTTGATGATAACATGTATAGCATTCTCAACATGACTGGTCTGAGAAGTAAATCATGTTAGGAAAATTCTCTTTACAAGCCAAATGACATATAGTGATCGAATGTTTACAAAAATACTAACAAATGGAAAAAAATGAAAAGCTATTTCATGATGATGATGTGGATAGTAATGTCTTTTTCTTGAGTGATACATATGGTAATCATGCTGGAAAAAGAAATGTTATACACTGTCAAGATATATGTGATTAAATGCAATATAAAAATAAATAAATAAATAAAAATGTTTCTCTTAACTACCTCAAAAATTTATTAATTTCAAAAAATATTTACTTAATAATCATTTTAATATTGATATGTATATGATCTAGTAATCACACAAATATTCAATATAAAGGCATACACTTGGAAGCTGAATATATATATGCATAAAATATATGACTGCCAATGTTAATTTTTAAAGATAATTTACTAAGTGAAAGTACTAAGTTATTATAATATAAAGTCTG